TCTGTGTCTCTGACCTGTCTGTCTCTGACCCATCTGTGTCTTTGACCCATCTGTGTCTCTGACCCATCGTTGTCTCTGACCTGTCTGTGTCTCTGACCTGTCTCTGTCCCATCTGTCTGACCCATCGTTGTCTTAGACCTGTCTGTGTCTCCGAACTGTCTGTGTTTCTGACCTGTCTCTGACCCATCTGTGTCTCTGACCCATCTGTGTCTCTGACCCATCTGTGTCTCTGACCCGTCGTTGTCTCAGACCTGTCTGTGTCTCTGCCCTGTCTGTGTCTCTGACCCATCATTGTCTCAGACCTGTCTGTGTCTCTGAACTGTCTGTGTCTCTGACCTGTCTCTGACCCATCTGTGTTTCTGAAAAATCGTTGTCTCAGACCTGTCTGTGTCTCTGAACTGTCTGTGTCTCTGAACTGTCTGTGTCTCTGACCTGTCTGTGTCTCTGACCCATCATTGTCTCAGACCTGTCTGTGTCTCTGAACTGTCTATGTCTCTGATCCATCTGTGTCTCTGACCCGTCTGTCTCTGTAGGGAGGGAGTACAGTAAAGCCGATAGTCGTTGGTTAGTTTTTGATCCAACAATCGTTTCCATTGAGATTCTCACAGTCGTCCTGGACTCTGTGCTCGGAATTCTACTCATCTACGCAGTAGTCAAAGACCAGTACTACAGGTAATACTACTACAGGCAACACTATGACCAATACTTAATATAAACAGAGAGAGAGAGTGATATATATACTGTATATATGTGTGTGAAGGGTTTTCTTGGTGGTTAAACTAACTGGGCATCAGACCTGAGTCCCCCCCCCATAATGACTCTAAAACATATTTACCGTTTAATATTACTCACTGTTCTTTAAAAACATTACGAATGACCACTGTCTAATATATATGAAAGAAAATACACAATTAATGGAAGAAATACTTCAGCCCCCTCTCTCCCACCTGTGTCTCTCCCCTGATTAACAAGGCGTCTGCTGGACACCCCCTCAAACCCTCCAAAAGAGAGAGTGCTTAGTAGGGTTTACAAAATAAATGGACAATATACAATATATAAACAAAAATTAATTTCCCGTCTTAGTGTTGTAAGGGGCAAGGTTTCCAGCTGCCTCACAGAATGGCTGCAGATCAGTATATCATATTTTTGAGGTTGAATTATATATGATATGATTGTACACAGATATATTTCCATGTATGTGTACATATATTGAGTATGTGTAAATTATATTTATATACACAAACGTGGATTTGTATAGCTATCGTACCAGTGTATAATATATGAGGTTGTATAAATATCTGATTGTATGCTGAAATATTAACAGTACACATTGACATATATATACTGGCGTACTTTTCAGACACTTCCTGCAGATCACTCTGAGCGTGTGCGAGCTGTATGGCGGCTGGATGACCTTCTGTCCTGATTGGCTGATGGGCAGTCCTCACCTGGACACGTCCAGCTGGCTCCACCTGTGGGTCTACCTGGTCTTCTTTAACGGACTCTGGGTCCTGGTCCCCGTCCTGCTGCTGATCCAGTCCTGGTTTTCTCTGAGGAGTATGCACGCCGTGAACCACACACACAAGAGGTTGTGACAAGTGTTTAGAAATGTGTTTACGTCAACATTTAAAGTTCATTCCATGTTTCCACAATCAATAATGAAAACATCTGACTGAAAACCTGATGATTGATTAGGGAATTGCTTTTAGATTCCGATTTTTCTTGTCATTATTATTTTTTATTTAGATAAAGAACATACCCTTTCGAATTCTTCATAATTTAAATAGTACAAATTGATTCTGTTGCTTTGATTTGCTGAGTCACTCTTACAGGGCAGAAAACGACATCAGAAGAAAAACACATAACTCCTCCTTTGATTATCAATCAACTGATCGATCAATACACTTTATTAATACTTGACAGGTGGATATTTGTTGATTACAATAAAACAACGTTTTGTTTGTTTAAATATTTATGCTCTTCCTCCACCTCCTCCTCACATAAACTCCATCCCTGCTCCCTTCAGCTCCTCCCTTCAGCTCTTCTTGATCAGTTTATTGACAGACAGAAACGCCTGCTGGAGGCCGAGTCCCTTCAGAGCACTGCAGGCCTGAATCTCCCATGAGCGCTCGGTGTAACTGCGGAGATCGAGGTGGTTGGAGATCTGAGGGGGGGGGAGAGAGGGTGAGACAGACGAATAAGAGGAGGAGGGAGAGGAAACAGCTCCACCTAGTGTCTGTTCAGGTGTAAATGATTCAACCTTCCTCTTTCAAAGTTTCCTCGTCCATGGATCCTAACCCAAACCAATAAATACTTGTTTCCTAGCAACTAGGACCTGGAACTGGTTATTATGGGATGTGTCTCTCACCTCTCTTATCGTCATGGAATTGGGCAGATCTTTCTTATTGGCCAGAACCATGAGAGGAACTCCTCGCAACTTCTCCTCACTCAGAATCTTCTTCAGAGTTTTCTGAGCCTCTGACATTCGACCAGGGTTGCTGCTGTCGACCACAAAGACCAGTGCCTTACAGTCGTCCAGGTAGAACCTGAGGAGATGGGTTGACTGATTGTTACATCTCCGTGCCTGCAACACCCAGTGACCAGAGACATTATGTTTTCAGGCTGTTGGTCCGTCACATTCTTGTGAACACTATATCTGAAGAACTGCTTCAGGGAATTTATTCATATTTAGTTCAAAGATTCCACGAGATTCACAGATGACCTGGTTAAATTTCAGAAGTCAAGGTCAATGACATGTACATAGACTGAAACCACAGGACGATGATTCTAGTTTATTTGTTTGTAAACAGATTTACCTCCAGTTTGGTCTCATGCTCTTCTGTCCTCCGATGTCCCACACAGTCAGAGACGTCTTCTTGTCCAGGTCCAATGTTCCCACATTGAATCCAATAGTGGGTGACGTGTCCATCACCTGCAGGGTCAAAGGTAATGGTTGACACCTGGATCGAAGCACACTTCCTGTTGTAACATGTCACCTCTGTAGAATCTCACCTGTCCTGTGAGCAGTCGAGCCAGAAGAGTTGACTTCCCCGCAGAGTCCAGACCCATCAGAATCACCTGAGCGTCACAGCAACAGTTTTATATTTCATCCCATACACGTTCAGGTTTTACTTTAAAACTAACAGAATCAATATTTGAAACAAAGTTTCTTCTAAATTTAAGCATCAACTTGACCATTTGTTGTCGTCAGTTTATCAAGGACAAGACGATGTCATGATGATGACATCAAACAGCAACCTGAGATGTGTGTGACTGATGATGTCACATCTGTTATAGATGATATCATCAGGTTGTTCTTCATGTCGTGGTTAAAACCTGAACTCTTAGCGTTTGAGTCAGATTTTATTTACCGACAGCTTTTATTTTGAAGCTTCCTGTTTGCTCGCCCTGACGTCAACATGTTAGTTTTCATTTTTTATCCTGACAACTTTAATGCGTCAGTGAATGCATCACTTTTAAAACAGTTGTTTTCTTACACAAAAGCACACAACTGTGATCAAGTAATCAATCATCAATAATCCATCAATGCTTCACTGATTGTCAATAAACAGTGCCAAGTTTGAAAAATGTGTCTCATCAATCATTGTATCGTGAGTTCTCTCCAAACATTTATTGACATTTGTATACACTATATAGTTCACTCATTCTTTCCCATACTGCATCATGAAAGGTAGTGTACAATCGATGGTCCATAACTGAGCGATATCTGATTTTCCACCTGCTGATGTTTTACGTCAAAATCCTGCGACAATGATCCAATAGCATCAAACAGCATTAAACTCATGGGAATTAACATTGATCCAACATGGCTGACACTGTGTTTCTGACTCATGTTGTTAAAGAACATTTCAAATGAAAAGTTCAGCAAACAGATTTACCTGAGGACACACGGATGAGCGAGCCTGACCCATCTCTCTCTCTTCTTCTTCCACCTGTTTCTTCTCTTCTTCTTTAACCTGCTGCTTCTTCTGTTTCTTCTGTTTTCCTCTGAACTCTCACCTGTGAAGATCCCCCAGGTGTGTTCACACCTTCACACTCAATGAACCAATCAGAGCAGGTCACGTGACCATATGACAGGTCAGACTACATTCTTGTGAGTTTGAAGATCGTTTCTAAACTGAAGATGATTCACTCTGACACGGAATCAGAGACAAACAATCATAAACAGATAAACAACTGTAAACAAACACATAAACAACAAGAAATATACAGGTAAACAGAGTTATATC